TCTGGGGGCAAGATGTTCCAAAGGGCGGGGGCTACAGCAGAGAAGGCCTGCCTTCTGGACCTGCTAGTCAAAGTTCTTTTGCCGAGGGGGTCCGGAACATTCCCTCTCTGCGAGATCGGGTGGGACGGGTTGAAATCGTGGGGGCGAGGCGGTCCCTCAGGTAGCCCGGCCCCATGGCATGTAGGGCTTTAAAGGTGATAACCAACACCTTGAATTGGACCCAGAAGCAAACTGGTACCCAATGCAGTTCACAGAGCAAAGGTGTTATATGGTTTTTCTTCGGACCCCAAAAATAGCTCGCGTGGCTGCATTCTGGACCAGCTGAAGCTTCTGGATATTACCATCATTGTCATCACCACCACCAGCCTTCCTAAACTATGCTAACCTACAATTATGTTCTCTTAAGCCATACTTGCTCATACATAATTGGCAATATATTGGAACTACCAAGAATTTGAGGGATTCTTGATATATTATGTGGTACAGAAAGATACCTAAGAGGCTGCAATAGCTGATCATCATGTGGTACAGTCAAGGAATTAAAATGGGATAAAGTTGTTTTGACAATTAACAAAACTTTATTATCTTCAACAATGCACTATCATAACAATATAAAAACTGGTACATGCATAACATTACTTAATTTATCATTTGCATATTACTCTGCTAAAAGGGTCAGTGTCTCCAGCAACTCCACTGAAAAGTTCACAGTTGATGGTACATAATTTCTATGTGGTATTAGTTCTACCATGTTTCATTTATATATTAAATTGTCAACTGGACTGCAGTTATCAGAGATTCCATATGTGAACACTCCATGTACTAGAGCAGTGTTTCTTAAACTATTTTCTCTCAGGACCCCTTCCCACTTTTAAAAATTATGGAGGACCCCAAAAGAACTTTTGTTTGTATAGGTTATATTTATCAATATTTACCTATTGAAACTTAAAACTGACCCATTTGCTGCCGCTACCACTTCTCATGATTGTTTAATGGAATTTTAATATTGTATTATTTTTCAGCATAGGCTGGCAAATGATTTTGATTTTGCAGGCTCCTGAGAGGGTCTTGGGGGACCCCCAGGGGTCTTAGGAGCACACTTTAAGAAACACTGCGCTACAGAAAAAATAGGGAAGATGTTTGGCGCATATAGTTTTAAATTGTTATTCCCCTTGTTGAGGAAGTTTAAAAGCTTGTACAGCTTACCTTGTGTATTTTGCTGAAAAATTTTATTTAAGTCTAAGGAGGAAGCTCTGGAATGTGATTTTTGAGGTCTTGGTGGAGGAGCTGGTGGTTCTCCCCCTTCGTTCACTGCATCTTCAACAGATGTGCTAGAGTAAGACCTCAGAGGAAAAATACGAAATTGAAAAAATAAAAATTATTGATGGTTTTTGTTCATACTGCAAGACTGTTCCAAGTAAGCACTCATTTTTTTTCATTATACTATTATTTTTTTCATTATACTATTATTCATGGCTTGTCAAGGATATATCCTACCTTTTATCCAGAGCTGAAAACAGTTGACATGACAGTCCCTTCATTTTATATACACAAAAAACCTTGTGAGGTAGTCTTGGCTGAGAATGTATTACTGACCCAAAGTCACCCAGTGACTGGGTCTTCTCAGTCCTAGTCCTGTACCTTAACCACTGCACCAAACTGGCTCACAGTGAAGTTGGAAGTTATTAATTAAATTTGATATGTCCTTACTTGCATGTTTGGACAGGACCCTGATACCTCACCTGAAATTGAACTGCTTTGCGTGATTCACCAATACCTCCTTAATGATGAATTGAAGGAATCACAAAAATGGGTGTTCATTAAAATAATGTCTTCATCTTAAGGATGATTGGTATAATAGTAAACAAGATGAGACTGTTCCACAGAGCAACTGGAGTGCTATTACTCCAAACCAGGACTTCATTTTTAGCAGAATTGGTATACATTTACTGTTCAATTCTATACATATAGAATGAATATATATTCATTCATTCATTCATTCATTCATTCATTCATTCATTCATTCATTCATTCGCAGACACTTGTTCATCTCACTCTGACTTTTTACCCTTATTTTTCTGAATATATCTCAGCTTAGTATCTGGCAAATTACTATGGGATAGAAATTGTTTAAGTTGGAAGTAGCAAGTTTCCAGGGAATACACGCAAAGCATGAACAAGCAACACATGAGGTACAACACATTCAGAGTAGGGCTGTGCAACATTTTGTATCTGATATCAGAAAGCGCTTTGGAATGTGCAGGACTGCAAATGTAGTGTCCATCTGTAATTCTTTCAAGCACTGCTGTCTTTTCCAAGGATTGTGTGACTACCCTTTGTAGCTACTGAACAATCATAGGAAAAGTGTGCCTGTTCTGAGGAGTTGCAGGCAGATATTTATTTATTTATTTATTTATTTATTTATTTATTTATTTCTTTCACACATTTATAAGGCCACCAATTCAACCAATGTGACTCCAGGAGGCATATAACAAAAATACACATTAACAAAAAGTAATTATACATCATTAAAAAAAAAGAAGCCAAAATCCAATATAGAAAAGATGAACCAAAAGGGATAATTTTAAGAAACCCAGAAGGGGACTCCACTCAACTAGACCCAAATGCTGTTCACGCTCCCAGGCACTCAGGACCTTTTCTGAAACTGAATTCAAAAAAGGCATAGTTTAGCAACTGCAACTCTGATAGATAAAACGGACTTTTCAAAAGTTGGGGCTAGGATTAATTTTGTTTTGCTTTGTTGCCTTCAAATCATTCTTGACTCCTGGCAACTATTGGCATTTGAAAATACCTTGGTAACGTGCATATTTCAAATACCTTGGACCACACATGTTGAAGAGAAAATATATAGTGGACCTATTCTTACACAGGGATTTAATTTTGTAAAATATGCTAGAAGGAACAAAGATTAATCCACTAATATATCTACAGCATATTCTGACGGTTATTACAACCATCTGGGTAAAACTGCATAGGCTGTCATTTAGTACTGAGCTGAAAAGGAAACAATAAAAGACATTGCCCCAAAAAAGAACACCATTCTTTTGCTTCATTCTTATTTCTTTCTCTATTTAAACTTAGTATTATAGGAAGATTAATAAAAAATATGTTCTGAATGACAGTTACCAATCTTGCTTATACAATTTAACTTCCTTATAATATTTTCAGTTGATTACAAGATCAATATAACCACAAAATTAAGTTAGCTATGACATTTATTGAAGGTAAAACTTAGATGTGACCTTCTTCATTTTTGGAGAGTATACATATAATGATTACAAGGAATTTCCAACAGTATATATTTAGAAAAGTATTTACCTCCATATTCTGTTTTTATTATTTTATTCATAAATTTACTGTGAGGTATTTTCATTATCATAAGTAGAATAAAAAATGCATACATTTTACAAAAACATAATAATAATGGAAAGTACAATTCTCTAATAGACTATATCACAAAACTTTAGGCAATTAAAACTTCAGAAATAAAAGAAAAGTGCTGTTTACTAAATGGAATGCTTTTAGGAATGCTTATTTTTGAAGCGGGAATTCTATTTAAAAAAGGTTATGCGAAGCGTTTTTACATCACAGATACTCTGTACAGGAGTTAACATGTCAGTCAAGAGGCATTCAGAAACAAATTAGCACCTGTATGACAAGTTCACTGTAGTATTTGAAAGTCCACTTCAAAAGTGTTATCTGAATTACTGTAATAGCTAATTTTTTTGTCTAGTTTATACTTGCAATTTGCTGCAAAAGCAGCTATATATACTGACGGACTGATTTCTTTATTCCTGCTTACTTACTTGGACCTTGGTCTCGTTCTGAGTGTGTTTGATTCTTGAGCAACTATAACATAAGATAAATAGTTAAGAACACTGTCAGGAAATAAAACTGTTCATAATATCCACTGATGCATCACTGTAACTCACTGTAAACATGGAAACAGAGCTAATAGATGCTCAAATACATTTAGGTAAAAAAATAATCATTTTCAAGATAAACCTATTCTTCAGAAAACAGGCTTCCAGTACTATAGTTTCTATTAAACACTTTTTTGCCTTTATTCTCTGTGAAACCACCATAGAAATTGAGTAAGGTCAAATTTAAATTAAATTTTAATGTAATGGTCTACAATTAAAACTTAATGATGCTGAGTTTTGGAATAGCATTTTTGTAAGTTTCCAATCTTGAGCAAATAAACAGAATTCTGTGACAATATTCTTTTTTTTTTTTTCCTTCCTTGAAAAAAAGGTTCTTTAACACCTTAACTGCTAGCAGGCTGTTAACACCATATCTATAAGGCTTTGATAGGTAATAGTTCTACTGAATTTTGGAATCCTCATTTGAAAAAAATCATTAGCCACAGGACACTCATTCAAGAAAGTCAGGCAAAAAAGGGAACAAGAGGGTGAGGGAAATTACTTATTTCTATTCTAGTAAACCATGATTAATTGGACTGAATTAATTATGTTTGCACTGGATCACTGCCAGTACACTGATATGGTATAATTTTTACAAGCTTGTCTTAGGGCTAATCCTCATGCCTCTTTAACTATGGCACAAAGATGTTTTACCATTTAAAAGAGATGTCCCCATCACACTGCCTTCATCTTATCCCCAGCCCACCACTAAAGGAACTTAAATTTGTCTTTAGCTGCTCCATTTTAAAAATAGTGTTTTTTCTTTTCTCCTAGCACAAGTCTTGCCATGGACACACAATCTACAACACGTAATCAACAGTTTCAATAGAAGAGAGGATCTGTAGCTCAGGGTTGAACTGTGGAGTCCTTGGTGCTCT